AGGGGGGGGGGATGATAACACAGACGATTTATCAAGGAATCATGCAAAGGATTAAAATAGAAATTATATAGACTATCAGTCTTAATCATGCAGTGACCTTTTTGTTATTAGGCTTATCTTTAAAAATCTACTTTCCTCATGACTACAAAAAAAATCGCCAATTTAATACAGAATCAGAATAAACTCTGTTGTAATATAGATCTAGCAATTTTATATCCCCGAAGATATTTTTCCGCCCTCTTAAGATGACACATAGATCTACATTCAACAAATCGAGTTTAAACCTTTGTGACCACAAGAAAAAAATACAACACAATTACGGGGCGATGAGATTTTTTGTTTCATTGATTACCATTCTGGAATCTGATCAGGCTTTTTTACTAGCCGTTTCCACCATAGTTTGTTACAAGGCCTGTGATTGGACAGACCGCAAGATAATGGCGTGTGTGTAACTAGCTATGCTTTCCGACGCGCGTGCCCACTGGAGAATGTGTAGCGGGCTTGAGGCCACTGTTGTCATCATGGATTTATGGACCACTGAAACATTCTAATTCAGACAGACCGCCTTGGACGAATGGTGTTTTATAGTTTTCTGTTTTGTTCTTCTTTTGGATTATTCTTCTCAAGTGAGGAGAATATTTTGGAAACTATCTAGATCTAGATCTAGATCGTCGTTGAAGTGTTCTAACGTATTTTGGATTCTTTTACTTTCGTTAGTGTAGTGTTGAGTACTGTCACAAGAGTTTCGAGTTGACAGTGAGTTTGAATTTGGAATTTTAGTGACTTCTTTAATAAAATGCGGGAGCCTACCTTTGTACTTTCAGAACTAGATCTAGATCTAGATCTAGATCTAGATCTAGATCTAGATCTAGATCTAGATCTAGACTAGATCTAGATCTAAGTAATATTTCTAAACACAACACTTTACTCTATATTTCTGGACTCCTGTTTCAATGAACGAACAAGTTTCCGATTTGGTGTTGATCCATTATAGTTATAGATCTAGATTCTAGATCTAGATCTAGATCTAGATCTAGATCTAGATCTAGTAGGTTACTGATAGACCTTGATCTTGTCATAGGAGTGATTGAGAGATAAAGAGAA